CGCGGGGTGAAATTGTGCCAGAAGACATAGTTGAACTTTCAAATTAGGGCTTCTTCGTCGCGGGGTAACCTTGATACATACATGGGCCGCCAGCGTACGATAAAAATAAATTACGCGATATTTCTTTTCCGCTGTTTCCTCCTCCGCTGGGACGTAATATATCGGGACCGCCGGCAGTGGTTACAAATTCTTTATCACCACGGCATTGTCGTGCGTTTTATTTCGATGTCACTGGAGCAAATCAATGGGCGTACATTAAAAACGACGATTCATAACGAGGGTCGAGCCAAGAATTTCTGTTCAACCGATGCGTGAAGCATCTTGCTGACTTCTTAAGGTACAAGTACTTCTTCTCTGAATGCTATATTTTTTTTATATCAGATGTAAAAAAAAAAATAGGGAGAAGAAATTAGGATAGGTTAAAACAGGTATCCGAAAGAATTGTTTTTTATCAGGTTTCTTTAATCGGACTCGGAGATCGCGACGCGATTACTTTATTGTCGGCATTATCATATTTGTATTAATATGCTGCGTTAACGATCGGAAAACAAATCGACGGCTCAACGACGATTATGCACTCATGAAAGTGATCTACGCGGTTGTGTTTGTGCACGCGCGCAAAACCTGATTGCTCTAGCTCAAGCGATTTGACCGATATTATACACGACGTTGTCTGCGCACATGTGTGGCATAACTATGATTATATATGTACCTCGGGTGTATTCATTCATAAGTCGTATGCCCGCATTGGCACAATATATTAGACATACACATATCTATGTACGTGCACAGGTATATATGGATTTATATATGTGTATATAGTACGGACACAATCGTTTTGTGATCCACCTGAGCTTTATAAGTATTATTATTCTCATTATTAATATGGATTTTCATTGCTTATTCGCGAGAAGTGATTTGATGACCCTTGAAATTAAAACATGGTCTTTCATCACGATTATGAAAAAGCTAGTCAAACGTATTATTTTAATTTCTCATTTTCACTTTTCAATGCCGTTTATTTATGAAAATTGTTTGAGTGAATGAGCTCGTAACGAGCTCGATCTTCATTTTCTACGATTTTATAATTGTCCGCGTAGTCGCTACTAATTATCGTAACCTAATCGCGTCTCCCGACAAATTCTCCACGGCAACTTAACGAGCTAGGGTAGCTCGAAAAACTTCCCAAGATCGCCAATCTCGTTACTACTTTTCTCATTTACCTTATCGCGATTCTCACTCTCGAGCCCGTCGCCATTGAAGTTATTAACTGTTCTCCGTTTGAAATAATAACTTGATTCGTGAATAAGTACTATACGCGATGCTTTTCTACTTTTTCATCGCGGACTTCGGTCAGCCGTCACCTTAATGACGTATCAGCTTTGTAGCACGACCGTTAATTAGCCGTCTGTTTTATTCCTTCCTCACTGGTAATACTTCTTTCTCTATCCGCGTTATCCTACCGCATCGACGTAATTTCTGACGGTCTTTCATCGGTATCTTGAATACTCTTGCAAGCGTCCATCATTTTCTCCTATTAATTATCGAGGCTCCTTTATCCGGTGCTTCGAAACTTTTCGTACTTACTCGCGACAGTTTATAGGAAGAGATAGGGAGGGAAAAGGGTCGTAACAGAGCAGGAGGACTTTCGGGCCCGTCCTTCCGGTACAGCAACTCGGAATGCCTTCGAATTTCGTCTACAAAAGACATCCGTCTTGAGTACGTCTAATCCTGCTAATGCTACATCTATTAAACCATAATTAATTGCAATACATAATTGCAGTTTTCATTGTAGTACATTATTTGCAATTTACAGTAACATCTTTGACAAATATTTGCAGTTATTTTATATGATTGCTGCCAGGCAAGCTATTGTTCGAACAATGCAGCTGATAAATAATGTCATTGCGAATGCGGACGTGGTCATAGAACGTAATTTGTTTGTTTTTTGTCGTGTTGATCGGTCGGATGAGTAGCGATTTTCTCGCTATACGACATGCAATTAGGACACGAGTTTAAGTCTGAGCGTGGCGCGCGTTCCATCCCCCCGATATACCAATTCCACCTAGCGCTTTGCCATGGAACGTGAGCTCGTCTTTACCTGAACCTTTCTCATGCACGCCGAGACGCACGGAAACGAACCAGAGGATCCGTTTAGGTTTAGAGTAGAGGGACGAGGATGATAGAGCGACCGAGTTGCATAGCGAGTGAGAGAGAGAGAGAGAGAGAGAGAGAGAGAGAGAGAGTGATTCGTGATAGAGAAAAAGAGAGACGAGGCCAGGGAAACGTCGAGCAGCAGGATGAACCGGGCTATGCACGCGAGAAAGAGAGCTATCCTGACACACATCTACACACTTTCACACACGTACGCGTGCTCGCGGAGGAGGACACAGAACGAGAACCGATGCGGCTGTCGCGAGGAAGAAGAGTGGACGGGGGCAGGGGGCGGCTGGTTGGAGTGTCAGGAACGAACCGAGAGGGGTGCAGAGGGAGAGTACGAACGAGCCCGGCGACGAACGCGGTGCGAACATGGAAAAGTAGGAGAGAGACCGATATACAGCGGGCTGTATAAGTGCAAAAGCGAATGAGCGGGCGAACGAGAAAGACGGTTAGAGGGAGGAACGGAATGGAGCGAATCGAGAGAACGAACGGTAGAGAATCGGTAGAAAGATGGAAAGAGAAAGAGTGTGTGCACCGCGGACGACGTCGAGAGACGAAAAGAGAGCCAGGCCGAAGGCAAAGGGCGCGAGCGAGAAAGAAGCCCGTAGCGCGGAGAGAACGAGGGACACGCTATGCCAGATAGGACTCGAGCCTCGAAGAGTAGTAGCGCGTGCTCACAAACTCAGCCAGCGCCTCTCGCACAGCGTGTGTCTCCCCGGCATACCGCCCCGCCTCTCTGCCGGAGTGCTACGCTACGCTCCTCTCCCGTGCTCTACTACGAGCTGCTTGTCGCCGCGGCCGTCTCTTGGCCCCGCGCGTCCGCCTAACCAACCTCATCCCGCTGAACCCTCCGCTACCTTCGACCTCCTCCTCTCCTCTTTTGTGCCCGCATTCTATCTCAGTCCTCTACGCTTCTCTCCCGGTCCACCCACCGACCCACGAAACCGCTCGTTCCCGCGCCGACTCACCCCGCGTGCACACCGATGGCTCTCTCCCTATTACCCGGCTCCGCACCTTTCTTTCTCTTTCTGTTCTTCCCGTTGCAACTCCTTTCACTCCGTCACCCTTTTTCTACTCCGATTACGTTCTCGGTCTCGTTCTTCGTTCACGTATATTCCTCTTCGGACGTCACTACGCTTGTGCTCGCTCAGCGTACATTTTTTACGCCTACCGGTTCTCAGAACGGGGGTGATTACCCCATCGAGCATGGAACATCGCTACATTAGATCATTTTTAATGTTTCCCCATTCTAATTCACAAATCATTCCCTCGCACCTCCTCTTCGTTTTGCACTCGTCCTCCCGTTGTCTCTTCAGCTCATATCACCGCTCGTTGGTCCATTCGGCCGGTGTTGTATGTAGCCGGCCACGATTATCTTTTGTCCGATCGTACGTGCATGCGCGTGTGCCCCATTCCGCGGCGTGTTTGTTTGCGCACGGGATGAAAGCGCGAGGCACATACGCGATGAATACGTGCGCCCGTTTTACAGTCCGTCTCTCTCCTACCTCCCGTTCGTGTAAGTACGCATATACTCGTTGCCGGTTTGCTCCGTTTCGCTCGCGCGTCCCGCCGCGCGCCACAAGCGTAGCGCCGCGACGCGACGGCTAGAACGACGAGCTTTATATTATCGTTGCTCCCGGCGATGCCGCGCGTAGCACGGGAACCAGTAGCTGGCCTGCTCTCTCCTCCGTAGAGAACGGGGGGGTCAGGGGGGAGGGGGCGGGAGAGAGACAGACACAGATGGAGAGAGAGAAATGGAGAAGGGAGGGAGATGGAAAGAACGCGAGGCGAGTCTGGAATTTTGCGCAGCTCTGCGGGTCTCGATGGCCGGGAATATGGGTATTATCGGCGGGATGCTTTTTGAAACTCTGGCTCGTTTGGTCCTCTTTCGTCTCCCATTCCGCCTCTTACTCCGCCTCCGCCTCTCTCCATTCCGTAGTGGCTCCGATCCTCTAGAAGGCTGTAATTATTTGCGCGAGTGTGTGTAAGCGCGTTACGCGGTCGCGTAGCCTGATACAAAAGTAACGATGTCGGGTAGGCGGCGTATCGATGATTCGCCGAATCGGGATCGAGTCACGGTTCCTGTATTTTGTGTACGTATTACGTATACGTGGTGCGTTTGGTAAAAGAAATATATGTTTGAACGAATTTTTTTATACCTCGTAGATACGCGTAATTGCGTAGAAGAATTCAGCTCAGTTTCACAACGAAAAATTCATTGCTTTTCTCGTGTTCGCCTTATGAATGTCAAATGATGATTAGTTCTGGTATTTCAATAGAAATCTTTTTAAACACACATTTGACGCATACATATTCACACATGCGCATGACTTATAATTACAAAACAAATGTCAGGTAATTGTAAAATGAATTGCGAAGGATATTGGCCTGCCTGAACGGAGACAACGCTCTAACCCTAACCGAACGGTACTTCGCGAAAGTTTAAAACCACGGGACATACCAGAGACTATAAATAAGGCTGGGAACGCGTACACGTACGCACACATAGGCCTGTGTCTCATAGACAGCGTTGCACGCTCGCGTAGAGGCGAACGCTAATTGTGGAAATTACTCTCTCGCTCGCCGAGGTTTCGAGTACTTTTCAAATGGTTCCGTTGGAAGGCGGCGCTAAACGCAGCCACAAATGTTAAATGGAAGTTCAGTCTTGAACGCGATCCGTGGAATACACGCTTGACAGGCAGATTTAGCAAAGAGTAACGCGCGCACCGTCTGCCGCTCCTTCTGTACTCTTTTTGCCGTCCCGTTCCGCTCGCTACGCTATGATTTACTATCGCCCGATGAGCCTGTGCATTCTCAAAACACGTCCTTTTTGATTCTAGGAGTTGGAACGACGAAGGGAGTCCCTAAGTGGTTCCGGCATCATTATGAGAGCGTACAGGGTAAGTCATTTACACTCGTCTCTTTATCATTGCATCACCGGAAAACGAAATCCTATAATTTACATGTAAACACTATTGTTTAATTACACGATCACGGTTTTGATTATTGTTTCGGAAATCAGATTGCGATCGTTATTTTCGTCTTATTAAATTAAGGATAGTAGCCCTGAGACTGATCTGTTAACCTTATGGATATGAACCGTTATGATGAAAGTTCGTTCCGCTGGCAAAGGCAGCTTTCAAATCTCGGAACCTGAAATTTGGCTATTCTTACGCTAACGACTACCGCGAGACGATCGGATCAGTTTATCAAACGTTTCTCGATGCATACTTAGCACGTTACCACGGTGAACTCGTGATAACGGTTTTCCATGCTTCGTTTGTTGCGTGTAAATCACCCGTTCCGTGGTCACGTATAATTTGTACGTTATATGCTCAACACTCGACAACCCTCTCTATGACCACCGCTTCATTCGCGCATATACGTACCGAGAGCATGTGTGCGCACGCACACGTCGAAGATTACTTCCCTTCTTCAGCTTCGTTATCTGCCCGAGAAAGTCCGATTGATATCGTTTTACGCATCAACGATCTTTCTGGATTTCGAATCGATGCTCTCCGGAGAGAGGGACGAGATCTTAGACCCGATTGGGATTAGAACCCGAGCTGTCAGGACATTTCGTTGGCAATTAGCGGGAATGAAAGATTTCTCCCCTACGTTGGGTTAACAGTATTCCTCGATTTTGTCCTATTCGTATTAGTTAGTTTTATTGTAATTTCTTGCGGGATCAGTGTTGCACACGGAAGTACTATCGAATATGCGATATTCATGATACAAAATAATTTGCTACGGTGTTAGAATAATTCATTCATACAAATGCATTTAATGTATTACATACATTCAAATCATAACATTTGATTAATTATCAGTGGTTCGAATTCCGTTTAATCCTAAGCGAAGTGAATGACGTAAGCCTGTTGTGTGACCTTCCACGAGGTGCAACTAAATCTGGGATACCCATGTTCCCGGGCGCTTTCTCTCTTCTCATTAGCCGCTCTCGTTCTCTGTCGTGCTCGGCTATTTCATTAAAAGAAAGAAAGAGAGATACCAGAAAACGGAATACTCATTCGCCTGGTATTACGTTCCACTCGTGCGTCGAACTCCGGCGAATCGAATAATTTGTCACCGGATGACGTCACCGAACAGTTCTGTCTCTTTATCCGGTGCGAATGTAGGTACGTGCCACTCTGATTGCAGTATGCGCAGGCTGCACCTTGCGCATGGAAATGCTGCAGAAACAGCCTGGCATAGCCGCGAACTCGCTAGAATGAGTCAATTCGACTGCCATCCGTTCCTCGCTGATTTAACATTTACCTCCTCTACTTCTTCTTTTTATTTTATTTTATTTTATTTTATTTTATTTTATTCTCTTCTTATAGTCTTCGACACTTTCTATCTTTTTCGTTACTTACAAGTCCAAGGAATGCATGATCAAACCATTTCCACATTTATTGTTTATGATCTTTTCCTTTTATTTTTGCAAACTTGATAAGCTGGGAAAGCTTACTTCTTTTTAAACTGAAATTCCTCACCCGTTGCTAAGTCTGTTACGTTAATACCGAACTGGTTTCTAACGGTGGTAACTCGGCTGTATATAAACTTACACGATTGGATGGGTGGAAAGAATTTTATGGTTTACTAAGTTTGATTAGTAAATTTTCTCGATTTATATGGTCGTCCCGTTAGGGAGATCCTTAAGGGACTTTACCAGTATGACCGCCTAAAATTTAAGTCATTTTGCGGAATTTTTTTAAACTTTATGGATGTACTTGCCTATAAATGAATTGTGTAAAATTATTTTTTCGCACAAAAATAACTAAAGGCGACCAAGTTATGCGCTGTCTCCTGAGACACAAATAGCGGAGTTTTTCGATTTTTCCTTAAAAAAATTGTTGTTTTTTCGTTGCCAAAATTACAGTTTTCTTCAGAAAACTAGTTGAGATCCGAACTTGAAACTTTAGTATGATATTTTTGAAGGTATGAACTTCCGAAAATGCAAAAAAAAATCGATTTTTTTTTAAGTTTCACACTGATAAGGCTCCTTAACGTTAGTCCAAGCAGTATCGACATTAACGATGGTGTTTTGACGAATGAATCAGCCTCATTTCCATTATAGATTCCATCACGATTAATAAATCATACTATGTTCCAGTTTCATTAAAACTGGCTGGGCCGCTTTGAATCGACTTTAATCGATTATAGTATTATTATTTTCTTGCGGTAATCATTGGGTAAGAAAGTAAAAGTAGACAAATAATTTGCATATAACGCTAGTGATCGCTTCTTCTCTTTGGCCTTTATTTCGCATTTTCTTCACCGTGGCTCTTGTTTCCGCCACTTTTATTCAAACCTCGCGATTCACTTCGTACCCAAATGCAAATCCCATTACTTTTTACCCTCCGTTTCTCTGTTGGCCGTGTCTTCTGCAGTGGTTGCGCATAGGAGAGACTTTAAAATTCGCCGTTCGTGCGTGTCACTACCCACCGTGACGCGTCTTGAATTCGTAAATTGTTTCATCTTTTTGGATACACTTTAGTTTACAGAAGACTCGAAACTGCCTTCTTGGGTTTCGAGCTAATCGATGTTTCATCTTCGACCAGCATCGGAATTTCTCTTTCTACTCTTAACTTTTACGTTATGTTCTAGTTAATATTGTTTTCTTTCGCGATGACAAATGTGAATTTTCATAGCGACAAAAAGCTCATTCGCATTTTCATAAATCAGCATTGTTTGCATATTTATTAGCAGGAAGTGAATTAATCGGGGAGCTTTGGGTGAGAATAATTAGATAGATCAAGTTCAAAATGCTCGGGATCCGATGATTTATTAGCTTCGATTCGATGTAGCCCCATAATCAAAAAATTAATCTCCCGATCGTTCCGGCATTGTTCGATAGCGCGTTGCTCGAGCAGAATTCCGTTACGATGATGGATGGTTAGTCCGATGTTTGGGAAGCGTTCTTCGCGGCGAGACAACGAGCGTGTGCGCCTAGTCGAGAGTTAATCTGAGCGCGCCGGTGTCACCAAAGGGTTAATTGGAAAGGCGCAGCGAGCCACGAATACTGCCGCGCTATCTCAAAAGCGAGAGACGACGGCGAACCCGGGTTCGCATTTGCGAACGAGGCAAGACGCGATAGTGAAAGACTCGCGTCGTCGGAGAAAGAGAAAAGGCGAGGTGCGGTCAGAAGCGAAGCAGGGTTACGCGCGCGCGAGAGAGTGAGAAAGGGATAGGGTCGTTGGTGGAATCGTTGCGGACGCATGAAACGGCGTTAGCTGCGCACGCCACCGTCTCCGCCGGAAATTATGCCAGCTCTCCGTTTCTACGTTCGGTGTAAACGAACCGAGGTAACGCCGGGCCGGCCAGCAGCGTCGACCATACCAGAGTGCGGAACACGCCCCCAGGAACTGCGTTTCTCGTGGGCGACGGCCTGAAATATCGAGCGCCTTGCCCACGTACACACGCGAGAACGATGGAACCCGACTGTCCGGGAAGAAAAGAGAGAAACCGGCCGCGGCATGGCCCGGGAAGGAAACGAAACCGAGAAGGGAACAGGCAATCGGGACAAGTTCGACGTGGGGAACGAACGATCATGGTCGGGAAGAGAATGAGGAAGGATGGGATATTGGTTAGGGAGAAGAAGATAGCTGTCGAGGGATAATTTTCCATCTTTCTGACCCTTCTTCGGTTAAGGAGAATCTATACCGCCATGGCTTAGGGCTTAGGGGAACGAAACTATATACGCTCCGACGTTTTGGGTATTATACTTAGTATAGATCATGATTCGTTTCGCAACACGGTTTCTGTGGTTGATATGATTCGAATCTTACATTAGGTGAGTGCAAAAATAAATTTGTAGTAATAAAGACATCCATAGTGTATGTATAAAAATGTATTTTAGATAAACATTTTCAGCTTCTGATATTGTTAATAGTTTTACATTTATAATCTCTGCATATGTTGTTAGAATAATCGTACTGTAACGTATTCCATATCATTTCGGAACCGGAAAACCGCAACTATAGAAGAAGAATTTATAAAGATGAAGTAGGAGTACTTTTATCCAAGTTGCGTTGAGTCAAGTGTGAGGTTGAGAATTGAAGAATTACAATCGTGGTTGATTTCATACAACTAAATAGGAAATCTGTATTTAGTCACGTGAATGTTTTATAATGAATCATTTGGGGAGCCCCGAAACATTTCACCCTTTTTAATCAACGCGCCGTCGACCCTCTATTAAACAATCAATAAAAGTATTAAACTTGTACATAATGAAAAGGGTGAAACGAACGTTTTAGTAAAACAATGAGTCCATGTTATAAAATTGATTGTGGTTATCGTTATTACTGTCGTAGCTCCGTGGAAATGAAATATCAGCTAGTTCTTTACATGCCGTGATCACGTATGAGTACGTTACATGGTCACGAAGTTTGTCGTGGGATTCAAACGGGGATTGCGAGGGTATATGTGTATATGCAGAGGGGCAGCTTAGAACAGGAGAAAATTAGATGCCGGTGGAAAAGAAGGAAGAAAAACAACGGTGGTGAAGTTTCGAGGGATAATTTTCTGCCTTCGTAGCTGGCGGCTACGCGAGGAGAAAACTCAGATCCGTGCAAGCCTGCACGCAGCTTTTTATCCATAGTTTCTTGGCGTGGAAATGTCGTCGTTCCGAAGCTAGCGTAGGTTGACGCATCTATTATGAACGATGGAACAAGGTACTATATAGACTGGCGTAACCAGCACTTTAAACACGAGTCGCGGAAAAAGAAAAAATTTCATTATTAAGTTTCGATGTGCAAAGTTCTATTCGTTTCAAGAATTAATTTTCATTTGTAATTACTTAGTGGTGGAAGAAACAAGAATTTTCAATTCCATTCGACTTTGCGTGACGAATAATAGAGATGATTGACGGTCATATGAATTTGAATCGGTTTCTAAGCTT